TCTAAATGTCACAACAGAAATTTAATTTGGTGCAATAGCCACAGGCTAGACCTTTTGGCGCTAGAGAAAGAAAGAGGCAAGTTCAAGGGTCATGCGAGTCTGACGATCAAACAGCAAACGCAAGGACATAATATATAATTCAATACACCTTGCCACACCTCACCACTCCCAAAAAGCTGGTAAGGAAGGGAAAACGATCAATTTCCCACTGGCGGCACTATGACTTCCTTGGAGTTTCTCAGGCGCTAGTCCCAAATTTAGATGCCGAATTGAGAGGAGTGAAACCAAGTGAAACTAGGAATGCTAGGGAGGTTGTTGAGGAGTAGCGCCTACTTTCTCGTATAACTTTCTCGTTTTGCTTTTCCATATCTTTGTCTTTCGATTTCTCGAAATTCAGATGCCACGTTTAGCATCCAAGCTCTACGAGCTCGCTTTGTACAAAGGCTCGGACGTCCGAGGCAGAAGGGCTGGCAGGACCGGCAGGGCTGGTGTTGCTTTGGGAAGACCCCGTCTTTCTTCGCCGCACGGTGTCGTAAACACTGTTTAGCGCGCTATCTGCGTGCCTCACTGCGCTTCACTGCGCTGCATGTGTACTTCATAGATCTGCTTGCCACGTGAAGGCCTGATGTTTTCTGAAGTCCTTCCCACAACAGCACCTGCTTGTGGAGGTTCGCAAACCTCGCCGGGGTTCTGCTATGTACAACTTTGGGCAGACATGTGGACGGCTATCCGCTCCCAAATCAACGGGCAAAACTTCTGGTGGATTCTTCTGCACCAGTTCGGCACAAAATCTTAGAACTGCGTAGGCAGAAACATGGCTTCGGCTCTCCATTCGCGTAGGGATTCACTTGTTCTTGCTTTGAGCTTTTATGGAATGTTCTCTGCTTTCGGTAGAGCTGGAGCCTGGTTGCAGTATTTGGAAAACACAAGAAACGCCAAACCGGCAGGAACGCAGAGCATCGCTCCATATACCCTCACTGAGCTTTAAAAGCAACGTAGGGACAACCTGTGACTTGCAACGGGATAAACAAATGCATTGCCTGTGTTGGAGTCTTTCTTCCATGTCTTGGGACAAAAAAACACAGCGAGGACAAACAGGAGCTCTGTTCAACCACGGCTAATGGAAAACGACTTTCAAAGAATTCTGGTTCACAGATAGCAAATCGCAACCGCAACGTGAGCCAAATTACTGCACCTGACCCAGTTTGATGCACTCGCTTTCACATTGAGTTCTTGCTTTTGTGCAAACTCTTTGCTATATCTGTCTGTGCTGTTGAGTGCATGAGTACATCATCAGGGAGACGGTGGTTCTGATGGACACCAGTGCATCGCTGAACTTCCGAAACGGCACCAGGAAGACACTATAACCTGATGAAGGCCTGGGAACATTTGAAGACAAGAAGTTCAGCGAAGTTTTCATAAAAACAATGGCAAAGTGAATCACGTGTTGCACGTAAATCGCAGCTCTAAAGCTTCAGACACCGGCTGTGCACCGGAAAAATAGACATATAACATTGGCTCTGGATAGGTTACCCAAGCTGGTCAGCAGCACAAAACCTATAGCTGCCTGTATATCATGTGCATGGTGCATGCATTCTAGAAAATAATAGATACAGCCCTTCGAGTTGTTCACACTTTTTTCCCCTTTCGTCCCTCTGGTTGTGAGGTTAATGTTTAGTTAGTGGAGCATGTGCCAAGAAATTCGGTGGCACTGCTGAGGCACAACCTGACACGGATCGGCTCCGATCCAAAGAAACGAACTTGGAATCTCCAGGGGCGACCCCGGAGCGGCATCACATAGGACAAAGGCATGGACCACTCCAGGATGCGAACGGCTCACCATGGTTCACTGTGGTTCACTGTTTGGTTCATCATTTCTTGTCATGTCTCGAGTGATCCAGCTCTAAACCTTTGGAGCTCCTCCTTTAGTTGTTCTCGTCCATCCGTGAGACGTGTGCCTCAGGCCATTTCACTCCCCATCAGTGTCTTTTTGTTTTTAGCGCGCTCCACCCCCAGCTACTTAATTAAGGGACCTCTAGTAAGCAACTAGGTAGGACGCAGGATAGCTCACGCTTCTTCAAGGAAGCTCCCCCCGCCTGAGGAGGGCGAGCTTCCTTGAAGAAGCGCTGGCACTATTCATTTGGTTCCTAGATTTTTTCGGAAACTTACCCTTAGGGCCTTTAGACTCTAGACATCTCTACGCCATTCTTATCTTCTTCTGATTTGTTCTCCTTGTGGTGTTCCGGTTCCCTGGCCATTTAGCTTCCCTGAGTCCCATGCAATAGGCCACAAGGACTACCTCACACACTCGTCTGCAGCTGCGTTCTCATGCGGCATCAGGGACTAAGTTCAATACCAAAGCTGCCACTTGCTTACGGCCCACACGCCTTAGCGCTGGCCATACTAGTTGTGAGCGGAGGGGCCCACACATGTCTGACTCCTCAAGTTCATCCTGACATCTGGGGTGGATGCGGAGAGGCCTGCCGACTTGCTGCTACAAGGACACCACTAGTAACAAAGGCATTCTTACTAGGAACAAGAAGCTAGTAGAAACAAGTGCCACGCTACTAGGAACAGGTGCCTTACTAGTAGTAACAAGAAGCTAGTAGAAACAAGTGCCACGCTACTAGGAACAAGAAGCTAGTAGGTGGTAAGGATTCAGCTGTTTGCACCGCAGCTGTTCTTGTCCCCCTCAAGCTGATGAGTCTGAGCAGCTGGCTAGGTCGTGCCTACCTCGGTCAGTGTGTTGCGTGGAAGAGTGGTGGCGAAAATTCGGACGAAATCACCTGCCCCTTGTCTTCTCAGATTCAGGCAGCGGAAAGTACAGCAATCCACTTTGGATCTGCCAACAAATTCCTGCAGTCTACCCTAATCATCGCTGCCGAAGACTTTCCCTGGCGATCGATAACCAGCTCCAAGGCCAAGCAGTTCTGGAAAGGCATGTTGCCAATGCCCGAGGCTATTGTGCCCCGGGCAATTCGTTGTTTTCAGTTTGTTGGCAGGAGCTTGTTCAGTCAGGTTTCTCCACTTCGATTGCCAGGGCAAGCTTCGACACACAGCCCACTCCGCGCGCAACTGGGCTTGCCGAAGATTCTCACTGACAGCTCGTGATCGCTGGCACAAAGGCGAGCATCTGGGAGCAATCCCTCTTGCATCTGGCGCTGCTTCATCTGCCGAGGCTTCCAACCTAGAAATGGCCTCCAACCTAATAGCAATGGCCTCCAATCTAGGCTTCAAGGTATCGCTATGTTACAGACTGGGCTAACTGCGCCCCAGCAAGCATGGAACAAAGGTCAGCAAGAAGTGAGGCGCCAAGCAAAGTAAAATCTCTCGATGAAAAGCAACATGTTCCATCCCTTGAAATACCCTTGAAATGTATATAGATGCCACCTGGCAAGAAAGAGTAATGTTCCCACACGTTCTGATGTGGTTCACTTCTTTTGTGGCCCTTCAGGACTTGAATGGACTTGTAAGTGGACTTGTAGTCTTGCAGAGTTTGCGGATGAGTCCAATGAGGGGTGCTGTGCAAAAACTTTGCCACTTTGGGTGGCCAAGTTTTTAGCTGCTATCAGCGGCCTTGTTTTGGAGTGGAACAAAACCCACACGGACACGTCACAAAGCACCGACTCCAATGCGTGGTTGCAAGCATTATATCGCTCTTAGGTTGGAGGCCATCGCTATTAGAAACAAAGGAAACAAATCGAAACAAAGAAACACCTATATATATATTGTATATAGTATAAACAGTACAATAGACTTCAAGGAAGTTCATGTTGATGCTTGGCACCCTGTTCGGGCTCGCTTACGAATACCCATGGCGCGGCCGGCAAAATTGAATGCAAAAGCCCCAGCTGATGTTTTTGTCAACACGATCCCTTGACGTTGACATCCTCATAGCTCCACATAGCCTGAAAATGCCTTCAACATACTGCCGTTTCAGCATGTTTCAATAACCAAGAACTGCAGAGTTGGACCATGTTCCCTGTGAGGCTTTGGCAGCAATCCCCAACTCAAACAATACACTGTGATGCTGTGCTGAGATGGCGCCACCCTCATCCAACTGAACCCACTCCGTCTTAGTGGAGAGCATTTGGTGAGCCTTCTCATAACAAGAAAAAAGGCTCTGTTCAATCCATGTTTGTCCGTAGCTTCTTCGGCTGGCAGCCTGCCCAATGCATTCTCAAAAGTTTGGCAGTTGGCCGGTGGAAAAAGGCCACAAGTTGTGCATGCACTTCGGTGCATCAGTGCATAGCCGACGAATGCGAGTCCCGCGCATCGAAGGCCATAGCTTGCAATAGCTTGCAGATCCGAATGGCCCCTCCAAGGACCAGATCAGAGATCATATATGTCACAATATATGTCGTATGCATAGTTATTGTTTGACTCCAGGTTTCATGAAGTTCTACGTGCAAACACACATCAGCAAGCACTCAAAAGAGTAAGTCCTATTGTATCCACAAACAAAAACGAATGCATCAAACATCAAGTCCGCAAGGTGCAAGCACTGCTGCGGACTCGCCGCTTCGATTCGGACGAATTCTCCGGGGACCGACCGGTGATCCGATTCGGACTCCCCGGTGCTCTGCCAGATTCGCGTGGCTTGGGACCTCTCGACCTCAGGATGCGCGCAAGCAGGAGACGGGTCTGAAGATGCGCAAGCACCGAGGCACCAATGAAGCGTACAATGGTACGCCCACAAACCTGAGGAACGGTTTGGAGGGGAAACGCTGTGAATATGTGAAGAAAAGCAAGAAACAGGGGCGTTCCTTAGTTCCTTAGCACCCGGAGTTCCTGTGTTCCGGTTGTCGGATGCATGAGGACTATCATGAGGTTCACCGATCACCGGCAAAATTGTCAACAGCTTGTTCTGCAAAGACTAAGAATTGGGTTGAGATGCAAATAATAAGTGACTCAATAACCATCAATAACACCTTGACTTCCTTCCTTGCCCAAGAAATGCCAGAGCCATGGAGTCACATGGAACTCACCCACCTTGCAGTTCAATCTTCATGTGGCGCTTCAACATGCAACAAGCCTTAGTTGAGGACTTCCTGCCTGTGCACTTTGAGCACAGCCACAGAATCTGAGCTACCTGCGAAAGAAGGCGTCGTTGGGCGCTCTGCTGCTTGGGCCTCAAACCACACCAATCGAGTTTGGGGCCCACTGCCCAGTGAGGGGAACGTGAGGAGAACGCAACGAGCGTGAGGATCAGGCTCTGAAGCTTCTTGTTACTACTAGTAAGGCACCTGTTACTAACACCAGTGTGACATAAACATCCCAACACCAAGCTCTCCACAATTCTTGCGGAGGTGAGGAGGAACCTGTGGAGCAGTGTGTGGCACTTGATGGTTTCCATAACTTGGAAGCTTCCTGAACTTTCAGAGCACCTGTTTGAACCCAAAAAGCTTATGTTTTGGCTTTGGCTCCCCTCCATAGAGCCCATAAATCAATAAACTGCGCGACTACATGCCTGCACAGCTGTGGTGCGTGGAGAGCTTTGACCAGGCCTGCAAGAGAGAAGACTATGCCAAAGCAACACATCCCAATGTTCGCCCGCATGTTCTCATCTGGTCGTCTATTTATTGAATTCATCTGCATATGACTATACCCCAAAACAGCACAAATGTTGAAGCCTCTGCGGTACTTGGCAAAATTTAAGATCAGTCAGTTTGTGCTTGAGCTTGGGTTATCACGCAAGAATGTCACGGGCCACCACATCATCTGGGAGCTGCTTCCAAGCCTGGGCTGCGACTACTAGGATAAAAAAACAAAAAATCCCCGCACAAAGAACACACAAAAAGAAGAAAACAACATTAACATAATTTATCAAAACAAGTCTTCCGCCTCCACCTTGGATGGGTGAGTTTCTGCTGGAAGACTTGCGACACACTCGCACTCCACCCTCTCTTTCGCTTTTTTCCGCTTTCCCTTCTCTCCCTGCCACCGTCCTTATTAGAAACAAGAAGCTAGTAGGAACAAGTGCATCGCTTCTAGTAACAAGTGCCTTACTAGTAGTA